TTCAGAATCTTATTGAATACAAAAAGTCACAAGCACATGTAAGAAGAATTGTAAAGAGAACAAAGAAAGAATATTGGAGGAAATGTTGTTGCACAGTAGGGTTGGCAGAATTACATTAATTAAAGTTTGGGGAATTATAAAAAGAAGGGGATAAAAGGAGAATATAGATACCCTGTCTTAAATGATGGAGTAATAACAGCAGTGAGAGATGAGAAAATAGGAGAGATGCTGGATAAAACCTTTGTATATATTTACAATTCAAATAATATTAGTGAAGAGGGGAAAGAGGGAGGGAAGCTACTAACAGGGAGACTGAAGAGTTGCAACAACATGGAGATTCTAATGATTTAGTAAGTAAACAATTTTCAATGGCAGAATGAAAATGTACACAAAACCAAGATGTCAGCACCAGGAATCAATCAGATTGTTATATAATGATGAACCAGCTTATTGATAATGCGAAGAATGTTTTACTAGATCTATAAAAAGTGTGGGAGGATGGGGAACTACCACAGAGCTGGCAAGAGACTGTAGTTGTGCCAATACGTGAACCAGAAGAGGGCAAGGGCACACCTTTAGCACATGATCAAACGAGGAGGAGACAGCCCATGCCTTTGAAGTGGTTGTAAAGATTTAGCACTCTGTGTTTTATTTGAGTGTTTTTGTTTCACTTAGTCCATTTAATCAGGTTTTAAAGCACTGATTGTTGTTCTATAATCTGGAAGGGAGAAATGGACACAAAGTTAGCTTCACTGTGGAATCTTCAGCTTCTCTCTCAGTTTGTCAGGAAGCTACTTTCCTCCATGTTGGATTTTTTTCTTTTTTTTTTTTTTTCTTTTATAGCTTTAAGTAAACATGGGAAATCTGTCCTCATTTTGAAATGAAAAGATATGTATAAAAATAATTTGAATCACTTGAGCGCAGGTAATGAAACCATGCTGGGAATTACATCATACTCAATCAGTTTAAAACTATTATACTTAAGCAGTTTGAAGAAATGAAGCATCTTATAATTGTAAAAATAATCTTCTCTCGGTTTCCTGCTAGACTGGTTTCAAAGTAACATGTAAAGTGAAGCCAAGAGGGTAAAGGAAGGAAGTTTGAGGAAAATGTTTTAATAATCAAACACAGAAACGTGTGTAGTGTTATGCAATATGCAATGAATTATCTAAACCTTCTTGACTAACAAGATACCAGGGATAAAAATAGGTGATCTTAGTTGTTTATTAGTCAATCTGCATCAGAAGATTACTTGTAAGATTCGTACTCATTTCATTCAGGTTTTTATCAGCCATAAAACTTCTAAGTTAGCAACAGGCAAAGTCAGCACAGCAAAACAAGCGCACCCTTTCTGAGGCTAATATTCTATTGGCTGGAAAGGTTGCTAGGCAAATGTCCCATTAAAATCTGAAGAAAGAGGAGAGAAAAAAAATTCTACAAGCAGAGTCAGTGTCTCTGACTGGAGCCGAGACTGGTGTGTGTGCAAGGAGAAAGAAGTAAACAAGAGAAGAAAATATCTGTGCAAGAAGAGAATAGATTTAAGAGAAAGCAGAAGTTNCAGTGTCTCTGACTGGAGCCGAGACTGGTGTGTGTGCAAGGAGGGCAGATCTGAGAGCAGAAAAGAATATTTGATGAAGAAGAGAATAGATTTAAGAGAAAGCAGAAGTTTTGAATGTGAGCGTTACAAGTTTTAAGTGCAAGTAGAGGAAACCTTGCTCTTAAAAAAATATGTGCCTTTAGTTTTTTGCAGGAAAAATCTTCTACATTTTCCACTTAATTCAGTGAAGAGATTTGAAAATGCCAGTAGGGAATTTACTACCTGTAATACTTTTAAGTTAAATTTCCATATTCAGTAAAGACATGATATCATTTTAACAGATAATTTAAATAAGAAGCTTAGTAGTATCCCATTTAAAATTGTGTGTGTGTGTGTCTGTGTCAAGATTGAAAAAGTGAGCAGCAGAGTATGTTCATGACCAGTTACTTGAATAAATGAACGACTCACCATCAGGCCCAGACACCGCTCCGATGACGGTAAACAGCAGAAAAAGCAGAGTCATCATTCTTCCTCATCCAGTTTCACTTGTTTAAGTTAAACACAGTTGTATCAAAGATCAACTGATTTTACTCAAGAAATTAACTCTTTACAAGATCATTACAAGTCAATAATAAGTTAAGAAAGCTCAGCTGAGGAAAATATGTGTTTTAAGGTGAGAGTCAACTGGTTTCTGTGGAAGAAGGTGGAGCTTTGAGAAAGTGAAACTGTTTAGTGAGTTAGAGGTCAGGCTAATAAAGATTACCTCATTACAACCCTTTAACTGTCCAGCATGTCAGCATTTAATCTAATCCTATGTGTTCAATGAATCAAACCAATAACTCAAATAACTCACTGTTTAAATATAGTTGATTTGAAGTTCTCCATTCTGTTCTTCAGAAAAATATTCCACTTTGCCAGAGGAAAGATGCAGCTGACTGAATGGAGTGAAATTGAACGGAGTTTTGGTCTTAACTTGTCCACACTTGTTTTCTGGTAATTGGAGCTTTTGTTCTTTAACCTGTCAGCTAAATGTTTACATTTTTATAACACCGGATGTTCTGTCCTTAGAGTCTGTTAGTAGCTTCTGGTGGCTTCAGAGGCAGACATGGGGCAATTATAATATATTGCACATTATCTGGTCCTACTAACCTTTGAATGACCCAAAATTGGTCCAGGCTGTTTTAATTTAGGATTCCATGATAGTGGGATAGAACTATTGAAATCTTTTTTGTCAACTTTGTTTCACTGATTTAACACCATTTAACAACACTGTCCTTATTTCCAAACATATCTGCTGTTTTTAATGTGTTTTATTGGGGATAAATTGGTAATTATCTACTAAGAACAAACCAAAGTGCAATGATTACTGCAAACACGTTCAGCAGAGGCCTGCATCAGGCTCTTATCAGTCCTATAGTTAACCATCTTAATTCCACCATCAAACCAGGAATCTGGCATGATGTCTGCAGTGTTACTGACAACTAATTGAATTAATTAACTTTATACACTTTCTTCTTCTTCTCTTGCAATCTGTGTTTTCTGGGTTTGATGTGAAATTCTTTGCAAACTTTTCTCTCCTCAAGTATTTTGTTGTTGCACAAAGTTGACTTTCTTTCCTCAGACGAACCTTACCAGCATTAAATCTCTAAAGTCTCATCAGGATCTAGAAAAACTCGTCTATGTCTGATGAGGTTCTCATAACATTTGCAGTGTCAGGATAGTTTTACCCTTTTTGGAGTTTAGAAAAATTAAGGAAATAACTTCATTAATTTTATTTGCTGTCAAATGATTTTCATTGTAAGAAAAAGTTTACATAAATCTGTTTAGATTTTGTCATCTGTTAAATTTATTGAACCCCCCACTCCCCCAACCCCCCCAGCTTTTATCAAACTAATAAAAAATAAATAAATAAAAAACAAATCACAGAGAAACTTAAAGGTCACATGTTTGATGATGTGTCAAACTTTAATATTAAATAGTTGCTATGGTAGTCTTATGTTTACTGATTGACACTAAAATACGTCATACTTTTTCTGATTAAAAAACAGACGACTGATTAAACAAGCTGCATCAGGCACAGTTCAGCATAACTAAGACAATAGGTCTACTGTCTAAGGAAAGTTAGCTGAATTTATAAAATGCTCAAGTCAACGGTCTGCAGCCATTGCTCCTCCTTCAGGGGATTTCAAGAGGACAAAACGTGGAGCTCCTCCTCCTGACCCAGATGTGCCTTTTAGGTGATTCCTGCGATGCAAGATCATAAACAGCCTGTTATCACAATAGGAGGGGAAGAGCAGCTTAACCACATGAGGAGGAGACATTTTAATGGTGCGCCTCACATAGGGCCTGTGTTTGAGGGTGGATATAAAGCAGTCTGTGTTTTATTTGACTATTTTTGTTTCATATATTGCCCTTTAGTCAGGTTTCTAAAGCAGTGTTCCCCTCTGTGGTCCTTCTCTGTTTGTGAGCCTTTTACTTTTCTCCATGATAGGAACATTTTTATTATTTAATTTTATTCAAATAAGTAATAACCTTAGTCTAAGACCCTCCACCCAGCCTGCAGAAGTCCCACCTCAGGGCTCCCAGTACCCAGACGGCCTCCAAACCAGCCTCAGTAGCCCGCTGGACCGAGCCACAGGCCACACCCCTATGAGAGGAAGCTGGGGTGTGTAAACTTTTAAACAGGTTTATTTGGATGTTTTTTGTTGCCATCATGATTTAAACATAAAAAATAGTCATTTAATCAACAATAGGCTTGGCTCAACCACTAACCATGAGGGAGGGAAAAAGTCTTTGTTTTATTGTTCATAAAAATTCCACAGGGGGTATGTAAACTTATGAGCACAANGGCTTGGCTCAACCACTAACCATGAGGGAGGGAAAAAGTCTTTGTTTTATTGTTCATAAAAATTCCACAGGGGGTATGTAAACTTATGAGCACAACTGTATTTTAGCAGCATCTGTTCTAGATATAAACAGGACTCATCTAATGAGATGATTTTTAAATATTTACAGTATACATGTACTACTAAACACAAAGCTGCATCAATAACACTGTACTTAATACGTACCGTAGTAAAGAAAAACATTAATAAAGTTAAAGTACAAAAGTTTAGGTCAAAAAATGTACATTTAAGTAAGTTATTTTGTCCTAAAACAAGTAAATTTTTCTTTAAATAAGCAGGTAAGTGAGACACTTTGCCAATGGAATAGTACAATTTACAACAGAAAGAAGAAACCAAAACTACTGTCTCTTATTTAAAGTGCATAATATCTAATTATATTGTTTTAAGCATAAAAATATTATTATTACCTGCTAAGATTAATTAAATACATTTACTCTAAGAAATGTTTCCTCATTTCTAGTACAGCATACCTTATTTTTTAAATATTTGTATAGAAGTGAATAAAAAATCAAACATCACACATGCGAAACACCAGAAGACAATAATCTGTTGTGAAAGGAGGTGTTTGCTGGATGGTAACCAGCAGCAGGACGCCAGCAGTTGAACCAGTGGACTATCTAAGAGATGAGTAGAAGACCTCTGGTTCTTTTAACTCTGAAAAAAAAAACACAGAAGATGAAAGTGAACAGACGGAGGAAAAGGTTCAAAAGTTTAATGACAGAGAATCAAGTTTATTACTGATATGTTTCAAAACACTGTAAACATCTAAAGGAGACTAAGAACATTACAGTTAGTCTAACACAAGTCACATCTNTTTTCCTGGTTGAAATTTAGTACTTAAATCTATATTTGTGTTTATAGTAACTTACAATTTATCTATGTTGTACTATCCTTAATAAACAGTTTGTCTTCTAACATCAGCCATTTTATTTCATCCCATATTGTCAGAACTGGCAATATGGGATGAAATAAAACCTACTATAATCTGTTCCCCTGTCTAAATCAGACAAAAAAAGCCCCAGCTTTTTCATTTTTGGCTTACGCATCTTTTATGATGACAATTTATTCCTGAAACTTTGGATGTGATGGACCTTTATTTCTTAAAGTTACAAGGAGGGAACAAATTATAGCAAGTCACCTGCTGTAATCTCTTCCACCTGTCTAAATCAGACAAAAAAGGTCTCAGCTTTTTTGCCTGATTTAGACAGGGGGAACAGATTATAGTAGGTTTTATTTCATCCCATACTGCCAGTTCTGGCAGTATGGGATGAAATAAAACGGCTGATTAAAGAACACAAACTGTTTATTAAGGATAGTACAACATAGATAAATTGTAAGTTACTATAAACACAAATATAGATTTAAGTACTAAATTTCAACCAGGAAAAAATTATTTTCCTTCTGCATATAGTTTTTAATGATTACACGTGCACTCCATTTTCTATTTCATTTTTATTACAAGTATATGGTTTCCAACAGTTTTCAATGGGATGAGAACATTTGGGCACTGTGAAACAATGAGAGATTTTTTTTAAGGAACGTGTGGAAAAGAACAAGGATCTGTTTGCTTTCAGAGGAAGGAGTAGACACTGCTGTCAGCGACGAGCTTTCAAGCAAACGTTTGTGTTTTATTATTAGTTTAAGATCAGTATCACTGATATGCTCAAAGTACTCCCTCTCTGTGGTGATGGAGCTTAGGGTACAACATGGACATTTAAAAGACAAGACATCTTTCACATTTGCCGCTTTATAAGATGAATGACTTCTTGTCATGTGTGATTTAAGACTGGCCCATGTTTTGAAAGAGCAATACCATTCCCAATAAATACAAGGCAGAATTTGCGCACAATGCACATGTCGTAGCCTGTAGTGTTTCAAAAGCTCAGTCTTTCTGGGAGTTTCATATTTACACATTTTACAACACCAGTTCATTGTGAACAGGATTCAGTGAAAACGTTCTAAACACTGCTTAACAATAAACCACTCAAAATGAATCAATCTACAATCAATGGCTTGCTAGCGAGCGACTGTAATGGCGGCAGGAAGGCTTACTTACCAAAGTGGCATGGGCAGCCACGTTGTAGGTTAATGGTCCTCCAGCAATGATTAAGGTCCCCAAAGATGACTTGTCAGCTGTTCCAAAGCGCAAAAAATGAAATTCCAACGCAGATAGTAGCTCTGTACAAACAAGCAGACACGAGTGCGTCGACTTTCCCAACCGGGTGCACGTTGAGTATCGTCTGCTGCTTGAGTATCCACGCCCGTTTCAAAAAAAGTTTCAAAACATTTTTTTGAGCTGAACCAACTTAAAATTTGCGACAAATTGAGCTGATGCGCTTTAATGCATTCAAATTACACAGGAAAATGAGTCTGGATATTTTCTTATTTTTCAAGTTGGTTTATTTAGATTAATCAAGCTGGTTACTTAGTTTAACAAATAAAAGCTGCAAACTTAAATGTTTATATTGAAATTGCGCATTTATTTTAGCTGAATTTACTACCCCCATGCTTTATTCTTTAGAGTGTAGGATTTCCTGAAAGCGCGCACATGCGCGTTCACGACGCTACGGAA